AACAGAGCATCAAAAAGTCATTTCTCGGAAAACCTAATGCCCCGGAATAAGAAAGATAGCGACATCTTCTCCCTCCTCCTTGGACGCGCACACCTTTTGCCTTTATGTGTTGCTTTTTCGCACCCGTGCGTCGACTGTAGCGCCGCCTGGAACGCTCCAAGATAGCAGACGGCCTTCCTATACTTGAGTCAGAGCGCAGTCAAAGGCTTGAAGACATGGAAATACAAGGACACAGGCTAAAAGCGAACTGTCACGGTCTGCCAGCCGCGAAGAGTGTGGTCAAAGAAAAGCAATGCAAGCACAGTCGGCGTTATTTGATCGGCGGCATGAGCTCATAGCATGCACTGCACTCCGACAGAATAGGCATTCCTTCTCCCTTCTCGTCCCTCATGCACACTTTTATTGTTATCTTTTGCTCTTTCGCGCTCGCGCGTCGACGGTAGCGCCGCCTGGATCGCTCCAAGATAGCAGGCGGCATTCTTCAAAGGATGTCGCTACTTTTCCGTATATAGGGGCTTTAGGAAAACCCAGACAACAGCGCACAGCTTTTGCAGCGGCGAGGACCCGAAACACACTTCTTCGCTCGGGAGAAGTGTGTTTCGGCGTCTCGCCGCAGCGGGGCGCCACTCACGTGGCTCTCCTCTCATCCGTTGGATGCCGCTCCACCTTGTTCATTTCGGCGGCCGCTTCTTGTAGTGATCTGCAAGGCTTTGCCAGTATATGGGAGGCTATGCTTGAACGCGTCTCCAACTGGTGTGTTTACGGCGTCCAAAAAAAGGGTCCCTCGATTTCCGCCTCATGACGTCATAGAAGTGTCATGCTGTCGCTAGTCGCGATCCTGGTGGAGTCTTAATAGCTGTGGTGCATGTGGCAGCAGCCTGTTCTGCTGCAGGTCGCTCTCCAGTGTGGCAGTACACTGAAGCTTCGGCAGCTAGAAATTGGGACGCCGTGACGATAGCGACACTCGCGTTCGGTTGTGCTACTGGCAGCTTTTCGTTAGCATTTCTATGACCAACCACTAGGATCGCGACAGGCTACAACATGACACTCCGACTTCTTTGACGTCATTTGTTTCCACTTCGGGACCACTTATGATGTATGGGCAGCATAGGACCCTAAACACACCAGTCGAAGACGCGCACCAGGCACCATACCAACACCGCCAGCTAGTCGTGCGAGCAGACGCACGGCAGCCTCCGGCATCGTCTGCTATTCCACTACAACCTGTCGTCTTCTGCGATGCCGGGGACGTGGAAATGAAAGGTGTGCGTCGGCATCTGTTTCCGGATTCGTCCGCCTGCTAGTCCGCCCCCTTCTCAAAACTTCAACAACGCTCACGAGGTGCGACAATGAAAGGGGCGTTTTAGGCTGTGTTCCAAATCTTACTCAAATGGATCCGAATTACTCTGGTGGGTCGTGTCACGTGACAACACAGATTGAAAAACGCTGGACGAGGGTAGGTTTTGGAACGCCAAGGTACAAAACCCTTACCATAGAGTAAGATCGAGTAAATTTTGGAACACGACCCTAGGGTTCCATCATGGACGAGCCGCGGCCTAATACAAGCGTCTGTCGGCGTCTGACTATAAGTGGTAAAAAGCGACCCAGTCGAATAAGAAAAGGCAAAAACCAAAATGTGTAGGCATTTCAGCTTTTGTGTTTTTCGTAGTTTTTGGCATGGCATCAGCGAGCAAGTTGGGTGAGTGTTATGGCGCAAAATTAAAACGCGACCTAAACGTATTAGCTTTGGTAGGCGAGGCACGCTGCAAAACGTGAGAGATACTTTCATTTGAAGCGAAATGACAGAAACAAACCTGAACAACCTTGATGCGAGCCGACCACACAATTGCCTACAGCGAAACGGCTCGCACATTTTTCCCTGTGTAGTTAACTTCTCAGTATTTCCACTATGGTTGCCACCACGACGGTGGCAGGATTGACAGAGCAGCGGGGCCGCTTTCACGGGAAGCAACATTTCTATTCGGAATCAACACGCTGAAACGAACGATTAAAACCATATCAAGCAACATACTTGACGTGGTACGCTAAGCTGACGCCAGTCCCGCAACAAAATAGAGCCCCCGCACAGGGCTTTCGAAAACGCGCTTTTTAACAGTTTTTTTTTTTTTTTTTTTTTGCGAACAACGTTGGTTGAGGAGATCTTCCTATAAACTCTTCGATGAGAGCAAAACGACTCACACTCTTAAAAACAGACGAGCTTGACGAGCTGCACTCGTTGAAACACTCCGCAAGTGGCGGCAGCCATGTTCGTTATCGTTTTACACCAATGAGGAAAAGGCAATATGGAGATACTTCCGAAAACAATAATGACTATATCTCGATTATTTGTTTCTAAAACATAAAAAAAATGTCAATTAACATGCTAATATTGCACGAAGATACATTTTACATACAATTCTTCACACGTCCACCACCTCTGTTTGTCCTTTGAAAGCCGAGAAAAGGTGCGTAGTGTGAGACACAGACCCTTATATAGCTCTGTAGTCTCGTTGCATATATGTACCGCTCGCAGAAGAAGAGAATAAAGAGCTCTCGCCTCGCGCTTCGCCGTGGGCTAGACATTGTGCCAAACACGTAGTTATTTGTAGGAGCTGTGCAACGATTTCAACGCTGAAAGAATTCTAATCTTCTACTTTTGACAGTGTTAATTTTGTCACAAAGGACACGGAACACACCTTCGTTTTTCGTAATGTTGCGATTCCGCCGCGTAATCACGAGGCAAAATTTTGAATATTCCCCGACCTGCAGCCGCTAGTGGCAGCCATGAGAACCACGCGGCACGGCGTCAATGGGTGTCTTGAAGAAAGATAGCAAGTTGTGCGAATACCTGCTCGATAAAAGGTAACTTTTCTATAAATCTTGTCGTTCCAACAGAAATATAAATGCGTCAAAAACCTTGCATCATTGACCAAACTTTTATTCTACGTAGTTTTAGTGGCGTCATCTATCCTAGGTCCACAAAACCATCAGCTCTATGTGTTACCGCAAACAGCCTCCAGAAGCCGGAGGGGGACGGGGGCAAAGCCGGACGGGGATGGCCGGACCCGGATGAGACTTTCCTCCTTTCACCATATTGTTCGCGCTGAGCCAGCGCGTGGTCACGCCGTCGCTAGTGGATGAGTTCTCGCTCCTCGCTGATGGCTCTACAGAGGGAGAGCTTCACCGGAGCCCCGCGCGACCCCCATTGACGTCACGGCGCACGTGACTCGGAAGATGGTGAAGGAATTGAGAGGTGCCGAAAACCTCAATCTTTGTTCATTTCTAAAATAAAAACTAGAACATGCAGGCAAAAGCGTTTTTTTTTTTGTTTTTACTTCAGAAAGTTTGAGATATGAACTCTCCAAATTATTTAAAGGGATACTACAACGAAATTTCGGTGCTCATTTTTTTGGTCTATATGTGTTCAAAAGAGCAGTATCGCATGGAACATACCAATATCTTGTTAAAAAAGTCTCGAAAAGGAATTTTAAAACGAATTAAACGATTAGCAAAGAGCACCTGGTGGATGTCGCTAACGCCTCGTTTGTAATGCTCGTCTAGGAACCTTGACAGCTAGTGACGGAGGTTGTCTCGTCTTCGGCCACGACGAGAGAAGGCGGGAAGGAGGAACTCCCCTCTTCCCGAGAATCCCTTTTGTGCGTCGCAGAGGTTGCTATTGTCCCCCTAGAAGATTATAGAAGATTAACCCGCCACTCAAAATTCGTACAAAAGCAGCCGCTTCGGTGGCTGGAACGACTAGGCCATCCTCTCGACGTCAGCCTCGCCGTAGCTTTGCTCGTCTTGAGACGACCTACGTCACGATTGCGTTGGATGTCACGTGCTCTAAGCTGGGCCTTCTCCGAGCGCTTGCCTGAGTGGGCCGTTTATAACGAAAAATACAGCCCCCAGGATCAAAATACAAACGTGCGATTGTCATTTACGGATATTCTGGATCATATTCAACCTATTTTTGAACACGACGGGAATATTTCAAATTTCGTTGAAGTATCCCTTTAAGCAAGGCACTGAAACTGTTGCACAGCTCTTTTAAGCACCAAGTAGGGCGTACAGCAAGGCTACTCCCCCCCCCTCTTTCCCTTAAACAAAGTCTTGCAGTGTAAATTTTCAAAATCATTTTCGCTTTTGTCATAAAATTCAGAAAAGATGGAAGGTCCTATTCAAACTCGCTAAAAAAATTGTTTTTCGTTTTAGTGTTTTTTACAAGAATTTTTTACAACATCGAGTCGTACTGATTCCTCAAAAATTGTTTCCGAGGTATCTTGGCTCATGTTACCACAAGATTCCCAAGAAAGATTATGTAGGTGTTCTTTTAATGCGGTAGCACTATTAAGCTACTTTCAGCTATATGGGTATCCTGTTTATTGCAAACGGAAAAAAAGTTTCCCCGCTTAATTTAGCTGAAAAACTGACGTCATGACTTATGTAAGAATTCAGTTTCCCCACTAAATTTAGGAGAAAAACTTATGTCATGTGACCTGACGTCATGTGACCTATGCACCGATTCCCTTTCCTTGCTAAATATGTACCACTGTCCGCGCACCCCCCAAACCTGAAAAATAAAATAAATGTGCTCCAGTTCTTGGCCGTCGCGACAGAACACCTTTCCGTGTGTGTCACGATAAATACTATCGCATTCATAGACTATAACACCTATCGTTTCTGCAATTTGATTTGTGCGAAAGCCAAAAAAAAAGTAGATAAAATTCTTATGCGAGATAATACTGCGAGCCATGTAGTTTTGCTTAAAGACGTTAGCGGTTTAGATAATAATTTAAAATAAGTCGACTTAATTTAGTGTACATTACAGGTTTCATAAAATAATTGCTTGATTACAAGTCACCTTCACACGCAACACGGATGAAATTTTATACATATCTTTTTATGATATTGTGTATTTTTTCGGCATGGAGATGAAAGCCGCATGTCAATGCAAGAATTATTACAGACATGCATATTGATTCTTCGTTTCTTTTACTTAGGTGTATCTCTAGAAGAAGATATTGTGTTCCCAAGACTGCTTCAAGAAAGGTCAGAAGGAGGGAAGCAGATAGTTTTCGTTAACAATGACTTGCAGCTTGAACTGCAAAAAGCCTCAATATTAGCCGAAAGATTTTTTATTAGTGGCTTTTCTGAGAGAAATGTCACTCCGAGAATGGTAAGTTGCACAACTAAAGTTCATTTCTTTGGCGCTGTTGTTCACAAACCATTGTATTTGGAAATAGTAGTAAAATAGAATTCAGAACTGCAGTTTATAGATAAGTACGCAAATATTTTTTTTACACAGTCACACAATATCAGCATTCGCAGCTTTTAGATTCTAAATGTACCGGCCGAAAGTTACACTTAGAACAAATACATTGGTTGCATCATATCAGCCATGTACACTCAGTATTTATAATACCTCATGTCCCAACTGCTGTGGTTCTGCCGATGGCTGTAATGAGGGCCAAAGCTGGTGCTTCCTGAAAACTTGCTAGATTTGAGCCGGAATCAAAATACTGACTGGAGTTATTCCACTCCTCGTGTCTTTTAATTTGGAGCCCAATATGCGAATATTTTGGGAAGAAAATACGCCACCTGGAAAAAGGAAAACATTTGCTGACTGAATCGTTTCGGTGTTTAAAATTATAAACATTGCACTTTTTTTCTTTTTTTAGAAAAATGGAACCGAGTTGGAGAAAAATTTATACGAAGACAGAAATAAGTTTTCTGCAGTCATAATGATCAAGGGTGAAGAGGGCATTACATTGGTAAAATAATGGTCTCAGATTATGTGTAATAGAGTAATGACATGATGATCTTACCTCGGTTAGACATAAAATAGCGCAAAAAGGACAAGGACAAGAAGTATACAGGACAAACGCTAACCTTCAACTAGTTTTTACTCAGGAAAAGCAACACACGACAGCAGAGCAGCACCACATAAAAGTTGACTAATTTTGTGCACGATCATTCAAAAACTGGAAGTCATTACTATGAAGTACAATAAAAGTGTCGCTGACACATGCCGTACCACTTTTTTTTTTTTGTAAAGAATGTTTCCAATAGCTCTCGAGTGACCGTCTCTCGGCTTCTACCCAGAATCCTTATCTGCTAAAATCGCGGAACGCAGCCACACGTGTTGCAATGTATAGGGGAATACGAGCCATATTTATTTTTTACTGATAATGCGTGCTCCTGTGTGCGGTCATTGATGCACAGACGGCGTGGTGCATCAATGACCGAGCGTGGGGGTACGCATTATCAGTGAAAGAATAAATATGGCTGGCGTTTGCCAATACATTGCAACACGTGTGGCTGCGTTCCGCGGTTTCAGCAGATATGGATTCTGGGTAGAAGCCGAGAGACGGTCGCTCGGGAGCTATGGACCTTTTCCACATACCGACGGCACCAGGCGGTGGCTGCACAAACTAAAAATCGAGGAAGTGACCTACTTGCGCTACCAATCGATAATGGGAGTTACGCTACCTGTTTCTTCGCTCTCTGAGCAGCGGCGCCTGCTCAATGCGACTTGAAAGAGGCATCCGTGGCGTCCACCCAAACGTCGTGTTTTCCTTTCCGTCGACGTTCTTTTTTTGTGTAACACAATTATATATATGCTGCAGTTACGTGTTCTACTCGCTGAAATACAGCCTCCTTCCAAATTTCCTCGATTTTTCGTTCCGACTTCCGCCGCTTGGCATCGGGCGCTCGCGCGTGCGCAGAACGCTTCTCGGAAAAGGTCCATTGGAAGCTTCCTTAATCAAAAAACGTGGGACGGTATGAGTCAGCGACACTTCTATTGTACTTCATAGTAATGAGTTTCGGTTTTTGAATGATCGTGCACAAAATTAATCAACTTTCATGTGGTGCTGCTTTGCCTGTCGTGTGTAGATATATGCTTGCTTTTCCCGAGTAAAAACTAGTTGAAAGTCAGCGCTTGTCCTGTATACTCCTAGTCCTTGTCTTTTGTGCGCTATTTTATATGTTTAACTAAGATGAACCGACGAGCTCAACAACGTACCCCTCTGATCTTAACTCGCAACTGAAATAATTTGCATATTACTCACAAAAAGTGTCGATGTACCCTTCTTGATGTGCCTCACCGTGTACAAATGAAAACGCTCAAACCTTAAGTTCACTGATAAATGTGCGGCACATGAAAGCCTTTTCTCTGCTTTGAAAGTAATTCACTTCGGATATTCGCGATAGTAATTTACGATGTACTTATTTGCAACAAGAAAGAAGCTCCGCTGTACTGCTAGCAGATGCATTTTGCAAAGACATATCCTCTATAGCAGCCGGATTTTGTTTTTAGTAAATGTCAGCTTTACTAAGAACAGCGTCATACAAAGCTTTTGGATCCGCAGCTGGCGTTTGTGTTGCACAAGACTTGAAACTAAAACGCACTTGCGCTTGCCAAAACCGCCGCGCTGATCTCAATTCCAATACGTCTACTCGAACCATCAACGAGAGGAGATCAATCTGATAATAAGAGGAGCGAAAAATACTTTTCATGTAGATTTTATCAATCACTGGCACTGATGTATGTCGTCCCGTACTGACTTCCGAAACTCCGAATAGCCATGCGCTTCGCAGAGGTGTATTTCGGCAAAGGTGGACAAAACTGCTTGGCGGTGTGTTGCCGTCGTAGCCGCTTACAACTTTGTGGCACACGATTGGACTCGAGCAACGAAAAACTCCTGTGGCTCGAATCGCGTGAACAAACATACAAAGAACGGTGGACATATATGTTTTTTCGAATGCCAAGAACGCGGAGCGAGATCGAAAAGCACAGCCGCGAGAAAGCGCACACGCGGCCAAAACGCTGCGGCAACATTAGAACTCAAAGTGGGGACCGCTTCACAATGCAATGAAACGTGGACGTTGTCGTCGGTGGCGCTGCCAACAAGGAGGAATGAAAGACGTCTTTCGGGTGTCGCGCGATCCCAATGTATGTATAAGAACAAGAAAAGCAAAATGCAAGCCCTAGTCACTAAGTTGCTCTAATTATTCCTCTTGTTCTTAATGGGAAGGGGAATGCATTTAAAAAAAATGGAAGATGTTTACAATTCCCAGGAATACCGAATTAGAGCGCAGCTCTTGAGGACGAGGAGGGGAGGATACGGGGAGGAGGGTCTGCCAATCCTCCTGTTCCGCACCCTCTCCTCCTCCCACTCCCCCTCCTTTACCCTCCTCCCCCTTCCTCCTCTCATGCCCCTCCCCTCCTCGTTCCTTCCTCCTCCCCCTCCTCCCCTTCTCTTCCCTCCCCCTCCCTCTCTCCTCCCTCGTGACGTCACTTGTGAAGCCTCGTGAATGTCCTTCACGTGACCTTTAATGTGAAGGTCGTGACCTTCACGAGTGACCTTCGTAGCGTCAATCGTGACGTCACTCGTGACCCTAGTGACCCTCGTGGCGTCACGTGTGACGTCATTATGGGAAGTGTTCCGTAATGCAACATGCGGTTACGCTGACGGCGACGGCGACAGCGACGCCGCTCAAGCCGGAACCGGGCGCCTAGGAGCTGCGCTCTAAAAAGAAAGTATAAAAGCGCGCAACCTGGTTATCAAATATTTGAACCGTAGTGCTGGTTGGAGATGTGCTAACGAACAAAAAGTTAGGTCACAAACGAGCTGGTGAAGGTTCAACCTAATTTTTAGACTGTGTTTTGTTGTCCTTCGTCTTTTGCCCTTTCTCGGATGTTTGTCTTAAAAGCTGTGCTAGCTGGTTCATATTATTGGGGGGTGCCAGCTGAGCACTATCAAGGAGATGTTCCTGGCATTGCACACTGGACAAAGTGGGCGTCGTGTGAAAAAAGAGCCATATATAACATCCCATTACGCGAGGTCGATGTTGCATAGGCCAATCCGGTCGTTGCAAAAATGGCCGGACAAAAGAACCTGCTGCTTCATTAAGGAATGTATCAGCAGGGAGTCATCTACCAGTCCACTGCCGCGAATTCTGGTGCACAGCAAGTTTTCAAAACATGACGGTCCCGGAAAGAAACACAGGAAAACTTCCGCGTGAAATCCTTAAGGCATCATCCATCTATGGTAAAGAAAATTAACTGGTCAAACCAGAGAGAAACACTGTTTCTGCGTGGGTACTGAAGGACACCAAGAAGCTCCGTGTTTGTAAATAATGGTAGAAGTGGAGTGAGAAGGCTTCAGTCCAGTTTCTAAATAAGGAAGGAGATGGCTTCAAATCCGGTTGTGAATACTGATACTAGTGAAGGAGGAAGTCTTCAATATAGTTGTTACCCCAGCGGTTGTCTATTTCTGATTTCTGTGTTTTACAGCGGAGCTGTTAAGGGCTAGTTTCCCCAGTTTCGTGTCCGTGGACAAGTAAATCTCGACACAACACTCTGGACAGCTACCGTCATCTATGAGCGACGGCGGCCACCAGACAACTGCCTTTCCGGTTGTCTGGTTGCCGCCGTCGCTTATATATGGCGGCACATAGTACAGCTCCGCTGCTCTTCTTTCTTCACCAGAGTGAAAAGGCTGAAAGGTTTTATTAGCGTTCCGCTAGCACCACCCAGAGATTTGAACCCTAAAACAAGGATTTCATTTTTATTGTATTAGGGCTTTGATTATGATGCATTTTACGCTGGTCTATCTTGTACTTTCACGACAATTTCATTCATTTCACTATCCTAAATCACCTATGCTCCCTTTGATTTGCACTTCTGACAGTCTTTAAGCAATACTATTTATAGTTTTGAAATAACTTGCGAGTAAAATGCCGCTTTTGGTCATCGCAAACTTACATCTATTTGATCTTCGGTGTGTAATCTTGGTTGGTACTCTCACGTTACTACAGAAAAATATATGTAGGGCGTTTGGAATAGCCAAGCTCGATCTAAAATAAATGGCAAAAATCGGCGCCTGCACGTAGCAATCTAAACTTTTTGTCACGGATCTATTTCACAAGTCGGTTTTATCATGCAATATTGCAAAACGTAGCCCCCTTTTTGTAAAAAATAGGGCAAGAAAACGTGCCAGCGTAAACGGCGGACTCCGACGCGGACAAGCGAGTCGAGTGGCGGGGTGCGTTTGGCGCACATATTGATATATGTCGTCGGGAGCGGCGTCGGAACGTGTAGCCAACCAGCGCACGAAAGCAGCTGCGACAAGCACACGTCGGCAGCAAGATCGTTGTTGGCTCCAGTGTTATGGAACCGCGTCTTTTTTTTAATTTTTCTTACTTCAAGTTTTAGCACCAATGTCCACGTTCAGTTTTATACCAAAGGTACATTACAAAAATATTTTGTTCAGTTTAATGAACCACGGCTGTCGCGAGCAGTCTGGATGAAGAGGTTGCACCATCTAACAATATCGGTGCCAAACGCGCCCCGCCACTCGACCCGGATGTCTGCGTCGCCGTCCCTCGTTGACCCTGGCAAATATTGGGCCCTATTTTCTACCCAAAATGAGCTAGGCTTTGGAAGACTACAAGATAAAACGTACCTGTGCAATGCACCTTGGACAAAAAGTTTAGATTGCTACGTGATGGCGCCAATTTTTACGGCCCGTTTTAGATCGATCCTCGGTACTTGGAAGACCCTATATAAACCATATGCAAAATCGAAGCATTACGAAAGGGATGACCCTAACAAGAATTCCCACTACTATTTCGTGGTGTGTTTCCTATGACCTTAAGCAAAATTCTGTATCTCTGTGAGAGAGGACGAAACCGCAAGTGAAGAGGCGCAAGACGCACATCAGATCGTGATAATCGTTTACATACATGCGTACACAGACTCATTACTTATTTTTGGAATATCACATTGATTTATGTTACTCTTTATGGAAAATAAACATAACTAAGTTTATACGAGACAGGTTGTTTCAAAAATCACATTTTTATATCCCCTGTATATCCCCATTTTGGGCGAGGTATATACACGGTGTGGCCAAGCTGCGGCTCATGAGTCGCATGCGGCTCTTCGCGTGTCATAGTGCGGCTTGCGGCTCCCTCGCCTACACCCCCCCCCCCCTCCCCCACTTCCCTCCAGGCTACACGACCACTTCCCAAAAAAGAAAAATGGAACGCATTTTAATTCGAAACACAGGTTGCGGTTTGGTTGTCTTTTACTACCGCTGCCTTACGCGCCGTTGAACTACATTTGACTCGCATAAATTAAAAGTAGTTCGAGTTTCGTTTATTGCTCTGGACAAAAGTTTGCCCCCCTCTCACAGCTCGTGAAAGTTTAGTGGTTTTGTTTGCGGCTCTTAGGCTGGGTCTGCCTGGCCACCCCTGGCATAGACGAACACAGTGTTAGCAAACATATCCGCCAGGTGGAGGCACTACGCGTGAGCTGAAACCAGATTCGAGTGAACTGAAGCGGCCGCGTGTGCGCCGCACCACCTACAGTGCCAGGGCAGCGGCTTGACGTCAAAGGCGCGTGTTGGTCTATATAGCTGTGTGTTTGAATGTCTTGTTTTGTATTTTTGTGTCGCACATTAATATGTTTTCGGAACATGGAACTTTACTGGATGTGTGAATATTTTGTCACTGCTTAGCATGAGAAGGTGCCCACAGTTCGGACAGATGTAAACACGAACGTATATTATTAAAAAAAAGAAGGCATACACGAGTATAAAAAAAAAGGACTGGCTACGTGCTTTATGTTGACACTGCCATGGAACTTACGCTCACGACGGCCCAGTAATACGTGTAACTTTCAACATCTGATCTCTCTTTAGCCCATATCCAGGCGAAAAGAGCGGGTTCAGGTGATGAAAAGAAGGTGGTTGACAGGTTTGGAAAGTGCGTAGCCCCCACCACACTGTCAGCTTAAAAGTGAATAGATTATGTTGAGATCAAAACATGAGATTGGTGTTCATTTACTTTTAGAGAAGGTCGCAACTCCACTGGAGCAACTTCTAACGAGTAAAGAAGTTGATTTAGTCTCTCGAAAGTACCTACTAATACTTCAATATTAAGGATGAGTAATCAGAAATAGTATTCAATTAGAGTATCCGAGTAGCGAGAGCAAGTCCGTACATTGCAGGACGAGTGATCTAACGCTCTTAATATATCGAGCTATAAAAAGTTATGATAGTCAGAATTACATCAAAGGTCTGATAAATGTTTAATTTCTTAGGAGGGAGTACTTACTGAAGATTTGAAAATTGAGCCCTGGCCTATGATGCAACGAATGTCTGGGAAAGGAATACCCCATAAGATTTCACGGATTGAACTGCCTCCTTTGGGAATGAATTCATACAGTGGTATGCATCACGAATTTTTCGCTAACAGGACATGTATAAACGGCACAGACAACTGCATCATTACAATGTCTCGAATATTTCAGCTTTCATGGCTCGTTAATCTACTTCCAAATTGGATAACGCTATTAAGCTCTCCGAACAGGTTTTTACCGTAAAATAGGGCTGGGCGGTAGCGCGATATAAATGCATCGAAGTTGTGTCTCAGATATATTTTAAGTATATGTATATTAGTACCGAGTTGCATTTCAAAAATGTATTTGTATCTCAGTAGTGAAAGAGAGGTACCATTGTTGGTTGCGTAGGAATAGTATGCCGCTCTTAGGTTTGTTGATTGCGCAGGAATAGTATGCCGGTTTTAGGTACCTCGAAATAAAAAAGTAGTCTTGTATACACTTCTATGTGACCCAAAATTGTCTGCCATGGGAAACCACAAAAAGAGGTGACAATGTATTTGACTGGAGTCAACATTTACGCGAGACGTTTATTTTCATAAAAATACACCTTTGGCGAGTAAACATTCTTTACGTTCCCTTGAACTCGATTGGTACTGATTTCCAAACTATGTACCTCCCCACAAAAAACTGGAGGCAAATGTATACCTGGACAAAATAACGGGATGGAAGAAATTAGCCTTTAAAACGGGACTGTCCCACCCTAAACGGGAGGTCAGGCCGCCCTAGCCATTTGATTGCACATTATGTATGCACCTGTATCTCAGTAATATATAGTAGTTTCCTGCCGTTTCCGCAAAAGTGTTTTAAGAATATCCATGTTACATAAAAAATATATATCTCGGTATCTTTATTTTGGCCGTAAAATATATCATATCAGTGATTGTATTCCAAAATACCTTTTGGAGTAGCTCTGCCCAGCCCTGCCGCTAAACAATAAAACATTTTATGTTACAATATCAGAATATACTTATATCTATTTTGTTGCCCTTCATGCAGTACATGTTTCAATTCATGCATTATATGTTTCAATGTTGTAGTTCCGTTGCATAAATCGGGCGACCGTTCGACAAATAATAATTATCGGCCTGTCTCTCTACATTGTAGTTTATCAAAAGTTTTCGAAATTGTTTTGTATACTCACTTTTCTGCATACTTTTGTCAGAATATAATACCAGAACAAGGTTTTATGAAAGGCAGATCTACGCAGCATTTGTACATAGCCAAAGCCAAGCAGATGCCGTGTACTTCGATATGACTAAAGCATTCAGTAAAGTAAATCATCACCCAATTCTGAAACAGCTCTGCAACTACGGTCTGTGTTCTAAGTACTCTTGGTTGTTTGAGACTTATTTATCTCATTGGGTAAACATTTTGCGAATGTCGAGCTGCTTATCTGCGCCTTTTTTATCTACTTTTGGCGTTCCACAAAGGAGCAATCTTGGTCCTTTTCTTTTTTTTTTAATCTTCGTAAATGATATATCTTCCGCAATTAAACACGCGCAAATACTGTTATTTGCTGCCGACATTAAGCTGTTTAGTGCGGTAAATACGGTAAAGGACTGCGAGTGTCTACAGCGTGATGTGAATTCAATTTCGGCGTATTGTCTCTGAATGGCCTTGTTTTGAACAAAACGAAGACAAAAATAATGTCATTTTGAGAAAGCGTGATACTGTGAGCTTTACTTATACCTTAGACGACAAAGCTATTACTTGCGTTTTCGTGATCCGAGATCTAAGAGTGCATATAGATCCAATATTTAATTTCAATCACCTTTCATCGCTATAACGGATGCACCCTTCAATTTCTTGGGACCCCATTATACGAGTAACACACAATTTTTCGAATTCACTTTGCTTTTTATGTATGTTTTGCTCACTCGTGCGTAGTCATATTGAATACGCCTCCGTGGTGTGAAATTGTATTGTAGTTTCAAAATCATGTATCATCGAGCATGTTAACAAAAACATTATTTCGTGTAATTTATGATTGCCACTTTTTTGGTAATAATACAGTTATATCAGAATATGAGACTGATGCAACTGGATATTTGCATAGCAGAAGAGTGAGACGTGATTTGAAGATTCTGCACAAAGTCGTGAATTGAATAATAGATCCAACTTTATTGCCATAGCCTCCTTTATACTCACAAAGCCTGGCAGTTCGACGACGCAGCCATAAAGTGCTCGGCCGCAGATTTGGAGCGTAAAGATCTGGTAGCACAGAGCATCAAAGAGCCATTTCTAGGGGAAACTGAGCGTCAGCGCGCAGCTTTTGTAGTGGCGAGGACCCGAAACACACTTGTTCGCTCGGAAGAATCGTGTTTTGGCGTCTCGCCGAAGCGGGGCGCCAGTCACGTGGCTCTCCTCCCATCCGTTGTCTGCCCCTCCATCTTTTCCATTTCGGCAACCGCTTCTCGTGACGATCTACCAGGATTTGTCAGTATATAGGAGGCTACGGTATCATTTATATGAATTTACTTACGCGTTCCTCGAATTTTTTTCAGATTGCTTTTAATGTTTTATCCTTCTGATTCGCATAAAGCAAAACCTTTGACAGGGCTACAAATAACCTCTAACCATTGTGAACAAATTGCGGCGAATAGTAGCGTTGATATTTTTGATGACGCGCGTATATTTAGAAATTCTGTTTATTATATTGGGTTGTTCTAAAGTTTCTTTTCCTATACATATTTTTGTTCTGCTGTTACGTACTAATCTGGAAAGTGCACCACTAAACAGCGGCATGCTATTTGTGGGCCACTCAAAACGAATGAATGAATAAATGATTAAAACGGTCCATACCGCAAATTATTTCTTGATTACCCAAGTATCACAAAAATATTCTCAGTTGAGCAATTTTAACCCCCATCGACTGCGACATGCAATCATGAGTAAACGCTTTCCTAGCCGTTAGAAAATAATGGTGTACGCAATATAGCAAACTATTCCGTCCATTGTGTTATAACTAATCTAAAGTATGAACAAAAACCAAACTCATCAACTGATTAACTGACGCGACTAAATGCAAAACACTTTAACATTGTTTGCATTTATTCGCAAAAACATTATTTGTTTTGCCATGCTTCGAAATAACGTTATTTGATACTTTAAAAAATATTTAAAAAAAACGGTGGTAACGCGCGAGTTCGCGTTTTCCTCACCAGGTGTGTGCACAACACGCGCACAGAAACAGCACGCCTGGACATACGCAGTGACGACAGCAGGCCGTGCCGTCAAAGCCACGCGATGCTGTACACGCAAAAAGAGTGAGGTGTTCAGGATGTATATCTCGCAATATAGTCCTTGAGCTAACATATATGGAAAATTACAAATTCTATGCGGTGAGAGCAGTCATTAGGTGCGGAGGTAGGGATTTTCTTAGATTGTTCATTAGGACGATAAGTGACGGATTTTATCAATGACAGCGTACGTGAATGATAATTCATGTCTCACACGAGCAACTTTCTCAGTTAACTAAGCAGGCCCTTGTCAAGGTGGGTTTGGTATGACAGATTCTCGCTTGCTCACTGTAACCTGGGTGCGGCATGTGCTTAAGGTGTGAACTATCAAAAGAAAACAACAATTGACTGTTTTTTCACCTGCGGACTATGCAACGGGTGCAAACCTTTGTAAAAAAAAATATACAAGGTGATTAAGCATTTCAATGATTTTGTGTTGTAAATCTTGTTTCGTTTCAGATAGAGCAGTTAAAAATGCATCTAAATTGCGCCTGTTAGGTAAGCATGATCTTCGTATCATGTGAGAATTTTGCTCAAGCACTATTCAAATTGATGCAGACTGTCATTCACATTAATTTATTTTTCTATACAGAAAGTCGACAAGCTGCATCCGTTCCCCTTGTAACCTGTGAACTATTTATATTGGTAGATTCTGTCTATGGCATAAATTTCCCCAACCTGTTCAGGTATTTAATTGCCCTGCTAACTGCGGTGAGTTATCATTCTTTATAAATCTTGCGTCAGACACCTATAACGACCGGCAATGTTCAGATGCGATTTTATGTTATACGTATATCGCCCTTGCAAATGGTTTCCCAAAGCGTATCTTATGAAAAGAAACAAAAAAAAACGTCGTATTCAGTTTTTTGTGTACCTAGTTAGTCTGATAGACATATCTTATACTGGCATACAAAATGTTCTACCAAGGATTAACAAAAAAACGAACACTTGAAATAAATAAATTATTTCTTCCGAATAACGTCGTACACCGCGGCGTACGTTAGCATATAAATAATGATGTTCGAAATCATTCAACTAAGATAAAAATACGTCGAAAGACAAAACAGTTAACCTACTTCCTCAGGTAACAGGTCAAAGAAACTCCTAACTTGGCATAAGCTTTGCAATTTTAGGGGCCTCAATTTGATCTAATACGGCTTTGCTCCAAGGCGTTAGTATGTGCCATAATTCTCTCTCGCGTTTCTATAGCGTTTCTTCGCCTCGCCACTTAATTGCCGAAGTGCCAGACTTGATCTAAAAATGCCATGCGTATGACCCGAAGAACCGGGAGTTAAGCTTAAACCTGGCACTTGTTTCGCAAGTTAGGCTTAAAGATGCCAGATGGCAGACAAATTACCCGGAGTGAATCCAAACATTGGTTTTAATAGCAAGGTCCGACATATTTAGACTTTGTTCAAAGAAGGTAAAGTTTGGCTTTACCCTGGCTGCTTGCTTTTGAAGGGTCCATATTTTTAGGCAAAAACGCACTTTCGCGCGAAGAACTGTGATAACTTCATTCTTGAGAGAAAAATGAAAAAAAGTCTACATATTCCTTCATAAAGGGAGGGACAAGGGGGGCCCTTGTCCCAGATGCTCCGTAAGAAATGAAGCAACGTTTGTCACTGGAAAAAACGAGGGGAACAAGCTTCCGCCCTCGTCCGTATCGTGATATGCACTCTAAGAAAAAAAAAAGGAGCAAAAAGGTAGCAACGCCGAACTTTCCTCCCTTCTACCGACGCGCCCCCAAGCAGACACGAGAAGAAGGGGGGAACGAGACGTTTTTCTTCTTTTGCAGGCAGACGGGAGAAGGGTTCTGACCTGCCACTTCATCTTCTTGCGGTTCGTTTCTCGAGCACGTTGCGCACGCTGTTTATTAAATGTTGTTGAGTTGATTGAGCTTCAGCGGGCAGCGAAGGCCACCTGTAATTCCGTCTCCCAGTCCAAATGTGCAGAATATTTCGGTTGCATTAACGTCTTTACCACTAATTTTATCAAACGGGCAAACGATGCCTCTTGAAACAGCGAAGTTCCGGAGCAGTGCCAGCGGCGCTACGCACACTGGGCTAAGAGCATTTCGGATTGCGGAAAACACGTGGGTGCGGATTCACGCGGACCACGCAAAACGTTGCTGCCGGGTGCCTGGGTGCCTTCTGTGTTGAGTTCGGCTCTGTTTTCCGATGCCGGGTGCCAACCGGCAATCAACGTGGTTCTGTATTTCCGCATGTCAGCAACGTAGCGGCAATATCGTGATGGCTTTGTTGTGCGTTGTGAACAGAAGACTGGAAATATCGCCGATGTGACGGTGTGTTCGCGTATCAGTGGTGTAACAACACAATGAGATGACGTAAACTGTCGGTCATGGACACCGCCGGTCGGGCCGTGATTAAGGAAGGGCGGGGTGTCCCAGGTTTACATTTCGATTTACATTCAAGAGTTTAAGACCGCTTAAAGGATTACGATGCAATGGATCGACTTGCGGATAGTCGGTAGTAACGGTGGTCTGAACCGTAACACTGTCGTCTGCGACGTCCTGTTGTCTTCTCCCCGAGAGCGATTGCGCTCTGGGGGAAGGATTGAACAGTATGAAAATATGACGGAAAGTACGTATATTTACAGTTTAGAACTTAAACATTAAAAAATGGTAATTAAAGTCGACAAAACGAAACTATTCTTCGTTTCCTTCTTTAAGTATTCTATGGTTCATGGAGAAACTGACTTCGAAGTGGCGTGCTGGGATGAGCGCTAGAAGTTTTCGAGCTGGCCACTGCCTAGCTCCGTACACTTAAAACCTGCCGCAAGTCGCGGCTTTGACTGCATTCAGGATGATCGAAAAGTGATTTCTCTGCCCGTGAAGCTTCGCTTCTTATTTGAGTGCCCCCTCTACACAGATTAATTCAAGACTAACAAGAAAAGCACGAATAAAAAACAAACAAACGCTACAATAGAAATGCTGACTACGACGTGCCGTGCGGGGAAGTAAACACATTGCTTGGAGCCGGATTTGGACGGCTTGATTTATTGGCTTTCAAATAATTACGGCATGACCATTTACTTTTTACTAAGAGATTCATCCCCTGAGCCGTTCGAAATACTTTCAGAGGTATTACATTGCTCGAAAAGAATCAACATTATTGAAATGTTAGTTATTGCTGATGTGGTCACCGATGAAATACGTACCTTGGAAACGACTGGTATTAAAGGCGGAAACGCAGACCTCGTGAGTAGTGATCGGGATAGTGTGCCGTTGTTTTGATGTCTGTGTGTAGTGTTTGTGCGCACAAGTATGCTAGTGTTATGCGCAATGTATCTACGTGTCTGCATAATAAAGGTTCCCGAAGGTCCCGAAGCGCCATGGTAGCGTGAGCAAATAAAAATATATTTTTTTTTGTAGAACATGAGTTGGGCGGTATCTAGCGCAACCTAGCCTAGCTACTTGCAATTACTCTGCTCGACCCTGCCATCTGGTGGCAAGCGGTTTAACCTTATTTCACACCTCGCGGTAATTTCTGGTTACCTTGCAACAGCTGCATCGGATTTGCTCTTTGGAGAGCGGCGTTTGATTCCGCGAATGATTTACCACTCCTCCGTGATGAGCAGTTGACGAAGGAATGGCGGTTCGAGGAGTAGCAATGGTAAGACGTAAAGTGCGCGAAGTAACTGGGTATCGGTTGTCTCCGTCAGTGCTGACGACGAGAAGAGTAACTGCTTTCGATACGAAAGTCTCTTTCCTTAGGGGAAAACTGCCTTCGTAAATGAATGCCGGTTGCGGAGAACTCGTGCTGCGCTTTTATTTGCTGCTTCTCTCGCCCCGTACAATGGGCGTATCGTCCTCGTTATGGTTATTGAGCTCGATTTGCTCGATTTTGGGCCGTCATAATGAGATGCAAACGACGAAGAAACTTTGGTACCCTGCTTTTAGGACGAAAGCTTCTCCCTTTCTAAAGGAACATGTGTTAAAAGAGCGTCCCTCCTTTCAGGGAGGAGTATGGCTACCCTTTTTTCTAGGGTTCGGTGGCTCTGAATCGAGTGAATCGAGCTCAGTAAGGCTTAAAGAGGACTACAGGTCGCTACAGATACTGTCGATTTTTGCGCGGAACACTGCCGCGATTCAACTATAAAGAACTAGCGTATTTTTTGGATAGTCAAACACCTTGCACATCTGACGTCCCCCCCCCCCCCCCTGCCCCCGCCCCTCTTCACCGGGGTGTGCTGAGCCATCGCAAGAGCTTTTTAACAAATGAAAACATTACGTGAGCTTTTTACGAACTGTATTTATTGCCGAAGCCGGCTTCCCACGCAGCTAAGGCAACGCGTTTGGAACACAGTCGCTCAGTCTTCTCGTTTTCAACACTGCGATGTTAAACGGAGACAAACGAAACCAGGTCATTGCGCGAACGTCACGTCTCACTTTTGCGATTCCCCGCGACACATTTCCTTCGCTGCCATTACACGTTAGAGGGGAGTGGTAAACCATCGACGAAACCATATTTTTTCCAAAAAAAGGTAATTTAAAAAAGCCTACTTGCCTCATTGCATTGTCCAGAAATTATAGCGAAGCGTGAAAGCTGGTTAAATTACTAGCCACCAGCCCGCAGCGGGATGGCGGGCACAGGCAGAGATCGGACACTGATCGCCGACGCCCGTCAGTCTGTTTAAATTATTTTATTTGACTGAGAAATGCGACGCGATCAGGGGAGGAGCATATCACAAGTGAAGGAGATGTTGACTTCGTTAAGGAAACGAGCATGTTAATTTTTAAATGCTGCGTAAATCTGAGTTTCGTGGTAATTCTTAAACGTTGTGGAGCGCTTTTTGGGTGTCGGCCACGTTATTGTGTGTTGCAAAATATTCTTGAGGCTGAGGAACATATCGTGGTGTTTGCACTGTACCTGGTCAAAGTGCTGTAAAAAGTGAGCCGCGCAAAGTATCTGTCAAGCTCCGGAAGGGTAGCGTTCCGATAGATTTTGCGTTTTCAGTGGCTGAAACTCACTGTCGCTGTTTTAGGGCATTGCAACATGTTATCAACCTGCGTCATGGCTTTTAATAGGCTGTCACACATGTTACCCTACGGTAAGAAATTGCAAGCGCTTCACCCATGAACGATAGTTTTGAGCGCCTGAGAGGATTGTTACCGTGCCCCCGGCATCTTTTGGTAACACTATGCCTGAACTTTATATTGATGCCATGAGTAACATTTGGTTTTTTATCTAGTGCTCTATAAAACTATTCAAATATACTGTACACTACACCTGTGTATACCGTGTTATTCGCAGTGTCGCGTTCTGCCTCGCTAAAACTGCCCCTTCTAAGTACTTGTCACGAACTTGTGGCTTACACAGATGCGCTTAATGGGATACTGAACGGAAATTTAGAACTTACAAAACAAGGCTAGGGCGATAGGTGAGAAGCTGAAAAGCCCAAAAACATCACTCATACAGCAATATTTATAACGGATGGCCGTATTTTTTTTGGAAAAGTGCGCGATTGGAGACGGTCGACGAGGCCGAGAAGAGATGTCACGTCAGAATTCTCCTTCCCTTACCTCTTCACTTTGTCTTCTCGAGCAGCTTAACCGAATCGAGAATCAGACAAGCGAAGCCACTTCCCCTCATTCTCAAGTGTTCCAGGAGGACGGCGACGTCATCGTTCGTGCGACGCTGCGTGCGATCGAACAGTTAGGATCGAGAGCGAAGACGACCTTGAATTGATTC